CTTTCTCAACTTTTTTTCATATTGTATTTTTAAATCTTAGATATTTCTTGTAGCTATATACATGCATAAAAATGTCCCATTTTGGAACAGAGTTGCCTCTGTTAAAGGCAACAGAATCTTTCAGCTGACCTCCTTATTTCACCTTAGGCAATGTCTAGAATGATCACACCAAAGGATTAAGTTCAGTCTAAACAGTCAGTTCTACTTGGCGCACTAGACTACCAGGAAAATTCAAATTAAGATTATTTCCGTATGTGATACTTTAGCCAGGATCTTCTTTGCATATACACATGTGCATGTGTATATGCAAAGAAGATCTTTTTTACTGCTTCCTCACTTTAAAGTGTGAGGAAGCAGTAAAAAAGAAGATTAAGATTGTACCTGCTCTGGTCTGGAGCTTGGCACGGATCGTTTCCAGACATTCTTCCCAACACAAATTATTCTGAAATTTTCAGGTAGTAAAGGATTCTGCTGACAGTTTCTGGCAACAATTTCTCTGCTAACTTATGAATATTTCTATTGGATAGATCTTTATGCATTAGATATGGTAAAAAGACTTCTCAAGTATTTAAGGGTATTATTCCTATTAATAGAATAATATTATCCTATATTCTGCTATGTGTTGTATGAACTCATATGCAAAGGCAGCCTTAACTAATTCTAAGAGTCTGTTTGTGAAACTGGAGACTTCGGCTCACATGGCATTTCTGCCCAAGGAGTGCAACTGTGGTAATAAAGAATAAATAAGTAATTTACAGCAACATGACTGTCACTGCCCAGAGATGGACTGTGGAGGAAAAAACCTATTGAATAAAGCTGTCAAAATCATCTTGTCTATCTAAACTAGATTAGCACAGATCTTGGGTGATACAGATTTTTGCCTGCTTTTAAACAGGCAAAATAGAATTGACATTTATCAAAGGAAAAAAAAACCCAAATAGATCATGCTCAGCAGGACTGGTAGTCTACTAGGTAAATTAAAACAGTTTGGAATGCCCGGCATCCAGCAGCTGTTGTTTTCCCCTATGAAGAACCACACTGCATCATTACTACCACCTTGACTCCCAGCCCTTATAAAATCACACAGGGTCCAGGAAAATATCCTGCACTTGCAGGATTTACTTCTGTTTAAAAAAAAAAAAGGTAAATCCACAAAATACATTTGTGCAAGTGGGACAAATGGTCGATTTGGGAGGAAAAGTTATTTAGACCTTCTGTAGAGAAAGATATCTGTTTCCCTATTAATCAGGCAGTACCCTCAAGTCAAGTCTAACCTTTCCAGATCATGCCCTGTGGTTACCACTGAAGTGGCTGTTTATTTGCACAGTTCACTTCACTAAGATATGATACTGTGAGCTACCTTGAACTTTTACAAAGCAAGGGCCTTGTATGTCAACAAATCTCTGTCATTTTCAGCCCAGTATAAATGTATCCTTTCTGTTTGCTTTCTTTTAGTAAACAATCTGTCCTTTTTCATTTCACATTTTCCTGCCAAAAAATATATCACAGTTGCTCAAATTAATGTTTAGGCAGAACTTCAGGGTGAATTCCTTTCTTTCCCCTTGGGGGAAAACCTGTGAACACACAAATACATATATGCACCCACCATCAGCTGCAGCCTGAGGCTTAGCAGCAGCCAGTTTAGATTGCTTCAGGACAGATTTTTTGTAGAAAATTCCTATGCTATTTTTTTTACTGGTGGCTTGTGATAAAACAATGTTTCCCTGACTCAATTTTTAGTTTTTAAATCATTCACTAAAGTCCTGAAAAACTGTCCAAATTATCTGGCTTTAAATACTTTAATGTTGCCACTGAAATTGGAAAAACAATTCTGAGTTTGAAAGAAAATCAAGGAAATATAGTATGCTTACATTGTGATTATCAAAGCAAATTTAATACACATTTAGATTCCATGCCAGCCCATTCAAAAACATTTCAGCTTATTGGCAAATTTGCATTAGGCTACATTTAGGCCTCATCTACAAGACATTAAATCTAAGATTCAGCACTTAGCTTTGGGATAGGATGCATTAGAACATGATCATAGTGATATTTATATGCCACACAAAGCACACCAGGCATTTCAGATGTCAGGATAAATATGAAATTTTATTCCAAAGGAATTTGGTGTCACAGACAACCTGTCTGGCACAAAGATATCTTTCCTAAACCTTCTGGTTTTCATGAAGAGTTTAGGCTTTTTCCCTCAGCTTACCAAGATGCTGTGAGACAGAGCAATGTTTTCATGCCCAAATGGGAGGGCCACACCAAAACAGCAATTGAATTATCAGTCTCAGGCTGCCTTGCCTCACAACATCATCACTGATTCCATCATCAGCCTAATCAGCCTGCTCTAGGTGATTCTACTGGAGCAGGAGTCAGACCACATAACCTCCAGAGGTGCTTTCCAACCCCAAATAGTGCCCGTGTTCTGCATGGCGTGTACTTGTCGTGCAGTTTTTGTCAATATTTTAATTAAGGAAATGGATGAAGTTATATTAAGTGAATACCAGGACATCAAACTCAAAAGAAATGCAAGGCAAGTGAAAGCCAGGATTAGACTTCAGCATGATCTTGAGAAACTGGAGAAATAAGTTGCTATCTGTGAGATAAATTTAAATGGATAATGCACTACACTTGTTATTTAAAAAAATGTAAAAAAAAAAAAAAATAAGACCCAGTTTACAATTGGCAAATAACTGGCAAATAATTGACTTGAGAGCAGCCCTACAGGAAAATGATTGACATATAGTAGGCATTGAGCTAGCTGTGAAAAAAAAAAGGTATTTCTAAATATTAGTATGAGTCTCAGTGAAACACAGAAAGCAACTGAGTTTTCTATTTAACATCAGTGCAGCTTAGGCCTAGTGCTACCTGCTGTAAGCTGCTATTTATAAGCTGGATAAGCATAAAATGGAGAGAAGCAGAAAGAATTGTACTGGTTTAATATATAAAGGTGAAGGTTAAACATGGGATATTAGAGTAGCCATTTCTATGTCTTATGTAATAAACCAAGTATCTTAAGTATCAGAACCAAGGTGAATTTAGATTAACAATATATGTAGTTGCAAAAGGATACCACAATCTGGAACAAACATCTGATGGAATTTTGAGAATCTTTGTGATTAATCAGTTTGGAGGAGTTTCTCTTTTATATTCAGTTTTTCCTCAGAGTTTAGATTATTGTTTCTTAGCAGTAGAATGAAGGACAAGATGTAGTAGGTCCTTGATAAGAGGATGTTCTAAATTATATTTACAAGTTAACTTTCCTGCAGTTCAATTAAAAAAAAAAAATAATTTCTTGTGAGTCCACACTTTAAAAAATTTAGCTTTATTTATTGTTTTGTTTTTTAAAGAAAGAGTAAAAAATTAGTTTGAGAGAAAATATTCTCTCTTCTAACAGGCTCTCTTTCATTTAAGGATGGGTGATGTTCAAGGAATATGTTTGGATTTTTTGTTTAGTAACTGAAGACAGAGAAAACTGCATTTACATTTCAAATAACTGAAAATCCATTGATGACTTACAATTTTCAGTTCCTTCCCTCTAATTATGTTCACTTATAGGAGTATCAATTCTATGACCTTAATTCTGAAAAATGAACAAATATATATTTGAATCCATTCATATGGATGGGGCAAAAAAGTGAAAGCTATTTTCAAAAGGTGAGAGTAAGAAACTTAAGCACATCTGTATTTTTATGACACACATTTGTACATTTACATATCTGCTAGAGAGTTCTGTTGATTAAAGGTTTGTAAACTGTATGTAAATGCATGTTTCTATAGCAGATTTCTCCCTTTCTATTTTTAATCAAAATCTGCTGCAGTATAGGATTTTTTAAAAAGTCTACTTTAAAAAAGGCTGAAATGTGTCAAATTAAAAAAAATAAAGGATAAAATAAAGTGAGTTATAAATATAATGATTGCAATGGGTCAGAGTGCATTCCTGTGACACTGATGGATACAGAAGCATTGCTGGAGATGTCAATACAGAGGTAAACAAAATCTGACAAGGAGACAGATTCTGCTGCTAAGAGATAAAAATGGCCTGCCATTTTTTATCTCCTTGCTGTTGTTAACACCACCAGTACAACACCACTGATTCTCTCAGATTAATTAATGTAGTGGGAAAGCTCTCACAAAAGAAATTTGTTCAAAGTAGCATCTGTTTTAGGTTACTTACACTGTCCTCTGTTTAATTTCTTGTAAATATCTTTTATTTAGTTTTTTGTTTTGTTTTGTTTTTTTTTTTTTTTTTTTTTTTTTTTTTTTTTTTTTTTTTTTTTTTTTTGGTGAGCATTTGCTTTAGTTTACTTAGGCAATAAAAATGTCATGTTCTTATATTTGTTGAGTGAAGACCTTTTCCAAGGGACAGTTCTCTTATTATCTGCACTGTGTACTCTATGTTCTATACAAATACACTCAGTGGCAATATGTTTCCCCAACATAAGAATTTTTTCTGCTCTTGATATGGATAAGTAATGTTTGTGATTTGTTTATTTGATTCTTGCTTTTCCCTCACTAATTGATGAATACATTTGTTCACTAATGGAATATGTTCATTATTTGACTACATTGCAGGTGGTTGAATAATACTAAGAAAGATTGGTGGTATTTTCTGCTTTTAACTTTTAATCATTGCTAACTCTCTTATCTCAACTAATTTGGCATCTGATTTTACCTACCACCTGATCCACATTCATTTCTCTTCAATATGAATCACATAACCATTAAAAAAAGAAGAAAAGGACATTAAAAGTTTTCCAGATCACAGCAGGCTTTCATATTACAGCTCCCAGGGCTTTCTTTAGTATGTCTAAATGGTCTGTTAGGAACCACAAAACTCCTCCAAAAGTATTCCCGCTGCCATTCCTGCCTCGGGCTCACCAGGAGCAGCTTCTCCAGACCACAACACACACGATACCCTTGGCACAGCTCCAGTAATGCTGGATCAGGTGATCCTCAGAGAGTTTGATACTTTTTGGCTGCGTGCATGTATAATGGCCAGGAGAGAACCACAGGGTCTCCTAACTTTATTGTATGGAATCTTTTGAAGTATGTATGTATATTTTTAGAGTATTCTAGCGGTAGCCAGAGCTTACTGGTGGATCATAAGTCATGATGCCCAAAGAGAACAAATATCTGGGTAAGTAGCTAAAAGCCCTTTTCCTTAAAAGTTTGTATTTAAGAAAGTAACAGGTTTAATGGACTGTGTCCTGAAAGATCCAACTTGTGTGCCTTTGTTGGCTTCTAATGTTTTTTCTAAACTGTGAAAAAGAGCCTGGTGATTTGTGTCAGCTGTTTTGTCAGTGTTCAATACTTGCCTAGAGACTTTGGTTCAATAGGTAGGATGTGCATGTTTTCTTTCTCACTTCAGAACTCTTCTCACATTCCACTTCATCTCTCTTGCATTGTGTGCTCCCCTTGTGTAACATAGGAATAAAGTTTATGTCATTTTTTGCAATAAATGGTTTGTATTTATAGTTTTAGATCATATACTGACTGTTCCATAAAGTGCCATTGCTATTACATGTTTGTGTTAAACTAGGGACTTCAATGGGACTTCAGCTGCAGTTGGGTTCTAGGCACTACAAAAGAGATTGATAATAAATATTAATAATGAAACAAAAATATATTTGTTAGAAGATGGGAAAGTTGCAGGTTTGGAGCATATTGTAATCATCATGACAGAATGTGTTATATCTTATGTACTCTTTGATTTAAGTAGAATAGGTAAAACTCTTCTACTGTAAAACTATGCTTATAAAAGTGAAGCACTATAAAGTGATAATTTAACACCAACCAGTGAGAAAGTCTTTTAAGTTTATGCTTTATTTCACTTTTGAAATTCAGTCTGAGTATTTTTAACAGTGTGCCCTGACCTAGCTGTCTTTCAAGAAAGAAAGGTATATTCTAGTCCAACTTTAATTCCTTTACTTTGAAACAAAAATGAAGCAGATTTAAACTGATGTCCTCTAGAAGCTGGGAGATTATTGCACTGTGATCCCCTTGTTCTAGCTGTCTTATTTGTACAGAATAATCTGTAACCAGACAGCACACTATATTTAATATAGAAATTTCAGTTTTGAACTTTGCTATGAGAGTGATGCAAGAGAAAGACACAAGTCAATGCATACTCGCGTTATACTAAGGTGATACCTTGACCTAGAGATGCAAGAGGTGGTGTAAACTGGTGTTTCTGTCCTATAGGTTCTCTGTCTGAAAAGTATGACTAGTGGTACATTATGAAGTAAAATTTGTGCCACAGACTTTTACATTTTAATAAATGTACGTAAATAAAACAACACATTGATACATTTTCAATATGTTCACAGATGTCCTTTGAAGGAAATAGGTCAGATTACCAAATAAAATCTGTAGCCTCTTATTTATTAAGAACTGTGTCAGAAGACGGCCTTTCTGACTTTCTGAGCTCGATTTTTTCTCTTTAGTGTTCAAATCATTCATACTCCCTCTTTTCTTTTCTTTTCTTTTCTTTTCTTTTCTTTTCTTTTCTTTTCTTTTCTTTTCTTTTCTTTTCTTTTCTTTTCTTTTCTTTTCTTTCCTTTCCTTTCCTTTCCTTTCCTTTCCTTTCCTTTCCTTTCCTTTCCTTTCCTTTCCTTTCCTTTCCTTTCCTTTTTTTTAAGTCCTCTAATGAAATTATGGCAATAAAATTTACAGCTTAGTGAAATTTTGACCCTATGGGCTACCCTCAGTACTCTCCAGCAAAAAATGAATTCCTGATGTCCAAGCATAGGGATAAAACAGTAACATAACAATATCTATCTTTTTCCCTCAAAAATATGATACCGATTCCACTCTAAATGGGATATACTATTTTCTCCCAAGTTTCCCTAAGCCAGGACACTATTTTATTCTATATCCTGTAGTGCTTCTATGTTCATGTCTTGATTTGGTTTCACAATAAGAATATTTGAGAATAACCTTCTATTGGTTACAAAAGCTTGAAAAAGAGGAGGGATAAATCTTCTTTTCAAAATTTCTGTCTCCAGTTTACTGGTGAGAGGGACATGACGGTTTGTTTTATTGTTTTCTCTCTAATATTTAAACTGGTCTCCAATTTTCCCCCTTTGTAATGCATTGCCTTTCATTGATGGTGTATAGATTTTGAAGGACTTAAGAGTCAGTCCAGCTGTCTTTGCTAAGGGGTCAAAAAAGATTTCTTCACTCTCAGGTAAAAACAGCATGATGGATTTGCTCAGCTTCCTCAAAGTCAAGACAAAAAAGGATATACACTTCTTGGAGAGGATTCAGGAATTTCTATTAGTCATCTGTACGAATATTGTGCCCAGTGTGGATAAAGATCAAATAACCAATTTTACTAAGTAAGGAAATCCTGGAATTTCATCAGTGGACCTTGAAAGAAGAATAGAGATGAATCAGTCTTCACAAACTAATATCTTCATTTGAATTCCTTTCACCCAGTACACAGCTGTGTAAGATATGCTAGGATAAAGAATACTAATGAGAATAGCTTTTGGAGCAGCTTGAAGAAAACACTATCTCTGTAATGTATTAGACAATGTAAGTCTTGTAACTTGACCATTTTAAGGACTGCAAAAGTAAGTCAATACATTGAATCCTGCTTCTTAAATTGCTCCTGGTATTTCAATTACCTCTATATTCAATTACTTATTGAATTTTATTTTGATCAATCAACTTTGGCTTGGGACTGTCTGTCACAACTGTATTAGTTCTAAGCATTTTTAGTCTATACTGGTCGGATGCATGTTTGTTGTTATGAAGGCTCCTCAGTTTCAAAACAATTCAATGTAATTTTTGTAGAGTTTCAGAGACATTGCAAGAAAAAAATTCAGACTTGGATTCTGAAATCTTTTGAATTATCAAGGTGAAATGGAAATCAATTCCAGTAGAGGAAACTCTTACACAGTAAAAAGGCAGGAATATAAGGTAGTACCTTAGAGATGTAAATATGCATGAATGTGTTCATTTTAAAAATCCAGCCATAGTTTTTGGCTTATTTGTACATAGTAATTGAGTTTTTTATTTTTATCCATCTGCAATTTATTGCAGTGAAAATATAAGTATGCTAAATGCAAGACCTGAACAGTTCAAAAGTAATTTTGCAAAACTTAGTCAATGTTTCGGGGGAAGAATAGGGAACATCTATTCTGATTACTCTTCTTATTAAAACCTGCAATTTGTCTTTAAGAGTAGCAAAATAACTTTGCCATTTCCTGAAACATTTCACTTAGATAAATTTTTTTTCCATACAATGCAATTGCTTCCCTTAGAAATTTTCCATGCTGTGACCACGTGACTTAATTCAAGTGTTTTGCTCCCTATGCACAAAACAAATATAGCTGACTAATGCAACTATACTTATGTTGGCCTCATGGTCTAGATTTACAGCCATGTTTAGCATTTCCCTCCCAGAAAGAGACATCTAGATTTCTATAAGTGGGTTTAGGCATTAGGTATTTCAAAAAATGCTTTCAGCAAACAATAAAGATGTGTCCACATATCCCTGTTGTGTTTTGTCTAGATCCACAGTTTGATCACAGCTATCAACTCTATTTATAACTCTAATACTCCATTTCTGAGCCTTTGCTAATCAACTGAGTGATGACTGTTTTTCATCTTCTAATCAACCCAAATAAGTCTCATTTATTGAGAAGAACCCTTAGTTTTCATTGAATAAAATATCTTTCTCTGTTTCTATTTGATATTGATGTCAACCTTTTATGAAAGGCAGGTAGTAATAGATGAGCCCTTATAATCAGGCATATTGCCATCTGTATTCCTGCAACCCACTCCTGTCTGGCAAACCAAACATACTGTTTACTTTTTCTTTCTCACAGCACTTCATAAGATTTCTTGCTGTTACAAGCGTTGCATCATTGCTGACCTTCTAAACAAGATTATTCTCATTCTTTCTGTACCCCTAACTAATTATTTTTGTTGAATTTTACTCTTACCTCTTGTATTTCCTTTCTCCCTAGTTTTGGTAGGTTCTGCACCTTTTTTGACTGGTAGTCATGACCTGTTTGGTGATGATTATGAATGCATACCAAAAAATGTATGTGATTATGAATGTTTTTTTGAGTCCTCTGTAGTGTCCTTCTTCCATCTATGGCAGCAGAACAAGGGCAGTACACAGTAGACTGGATTATGTTTTCTCAGTGCTGTTAATTCAGGGTAACATCTCTGAGGACATATATTCATCTAGTGTTCAGTGAACATATACTTTTTCTTAGCACCTTCTCCTTTCCTAAACAAAGGCAGTATGTTCCCATACCAGCAGGTTGTGATGGACATTTTGACATGTAAATAAGTGATCTTTTTTTTAATCCCCCTCATGTCGCTCAACCACTAAGGCTGCTAATTATCTTTTTCAGTGCTTCCGTGGAGTTCAAAAAGCTCTTTTCATCAAAGGAAACTGAAAACCCAGTATTTAGGTCTGTTCTTTCTTACAATGAATTTTGTGATTTTAGAAGTTATTCTGTATGGAACCCCTCCTGTTTTACATTTTCTCACCTGGAACATTTTGTTACAAACATTTCTCACCTGGAACATTTTGTTTCCAAACTTTATTTGTTGACATCTCTGACTTTTTGGTCCCATAGGGGTAGAGGTACCATAAATGACTTTGGATCTACTGCTTGTAATAAATATCAAGAGAAACATCCCAACCCAGGCAGAATTTTGACCCCATTTGCTCGGTGCTGCATCCACACTAATCATCTCTTCCAAACAGGTAGTGCCCATTAGCCTACAAGAAGCTGCTCTGTAATTTCCAAACTTGATCTAGGCATCATTTAGGATTACCACATGGACATGTCATATCTGATATCTGCTAGCCTAGACATCTATGTTGGCATGTACATCATTCTATTGTCAGTGAAAGTATCTTTAAACCAAAACTTGAAAAAAATTTAGCAGAGTTCATCATACTTTGTATTGAGGAAAAGAGTTTAAAAAATGGCTAAATGCAGTGTTTGTACATTAATCTTAAAGATTCACACTTTTCACTTATATGTAAAGAACAGAAAAGCAAATATCACTGAAGGCACTCTGGCAAAGTCAGTTCTATCCTCCATGTGACAGGATTCTTTGTGGTCCTCACAGTGTATCTTTGAAAGGTGGTTAAAGGGAAACAAAAGG